TAAAACAATAAGTAGTTGCTAATTTCTGGAGTGTAAACACACAATGAAAACTCTGACAATTGGCTCTGTAAGTTCTAGAACTGGTCATTGACCAATGCTTCCTATTCTGTTTGCTGTTTCATGGGATTGGCCAGCAACCTGGAACTGACAACAGAGGGAAATTGGGTGAGGCTTGAAAGGGCCTCTCTCTGTCTGAATTTTCTGTTGAGTCTATGTGGGAAAACTCTTCTCCTGCCCAAAGCACTTATAGAGAGGACAGAATTTGTACTTCATTATCTATATTACTTGCAGTAATACTTAAGGTCATTGTTGTCTCTCTGTGTGTTTGTCTTATGTCCCCAGTAAAAAAAATAGCTGGAATCAGACATAGAATATTAGACCTGGAAGTCAATACCTCAGAGCCTAACCTTAATCAAACTCCCTTAATTTGTCTTATTATTTAATGTTTTATTAGTCTACCAGTGTCCAGGGAACTGCTGATTCACTGAACTGGGGCGACCACCCAATCATCAGAGACAATCTGGAGTTCTCAGGTGCCTTTTGTTTTCTGCATTGAAGTAATTCCCCAATATACACTGTCCATACCCTCCCTTCTCCACCTTGAACTCTGCCTGGTAACAACAACAACAACAAAACAATTAAGCAAATCTGACCAACACGATGACCATCTGACAACATATGCAATGTTTTGCTCCTATAATCCTTCCATTTCTCTACTTAAAAAAATTAGTGCATCATCTCTTCTCTAGGACCAATATGGGTCACTGCAATTGATGATTGTCCAATGCTGCAATTGTAAGTTTATCTCTCTTATTGCATTTTTATTTACATTATTTCAGTCACTGGGCAAATTGTTCTCCTGGGCCTGCTGTCTTCAGTCTGCATCAGTTCATACGAGCCTTTGGATATTTCTCAATTCTTTCTAGTGATCATTTCTTGCAGCCCAATAACACTCTACTACATGCATCTACCATCATTTGTTCTCCCATTCCCCAGTGGATAGACACACATTTGAGTTCCATTCTTTTTGCTATTGTAAAAATTGCTGAAGAATTGGAAGGAAAATGGGTGCCCACTGCCTGGGGACTGGATGAACAAAGATGAACACCGTAGAATATTATTGTGATATGAGAAAGCATGAATATAAAGGATTCAGAAAATTGGGGAAGACTTTATGAATTGATGTATGGCAAAATAATTAGAACCAGGAGAACAATTTCCTCATTGACTCCAACAGTATAAAAGAAAACAGCATTGAAAAACTTCAGAATTATGATGAAGGTAATGGCCAATCATGTCTTCAAAGGATTTAATGGCAAAGCATAGTTCCCACCTTTCAGAGTAGTGATATGCAATAGGTATAGAATGAGCCATATGTTTTCAGAGATAGTCAATGTATTGATTTGATTAGCTTGATTGTTTTTATTTGATGCAAAGGAGAGTTCTTTTGGGGGAGAGAGGAAGGGAACATTTGGTCTGACAGTAATATCAGTAAATATTAAAATACATTTAAAAAAAAAAAGGTGTTGCTACAAACATTTCGATGTATAAGGGACCTTTCTTTCTGTCTTTGACCTCCTTGGGTCGCATTTTACACGAAAAAACTAAGGTAGAGTGACTTCTCAAGAACAAACAGCTAGCTTGTCAACAGGATCCAGGTGTCCCAGGCATTCCATCAGTGTTCTTTGTCAAGGCAGAAGCACTGCTGTCATTTGATAGGTATGCTCCCATAAGGTCTGTATAGCATGCCATACACAGTTAGTATATCAACTAACTAAACAAACTTCACTTCTGGGCTGATTATTTACCTTTATGAAAGGGAAACAAGGGGCAGCTAGGTGGCACTGTGGATGGAGCACTGGCCCTAAAGTCAGGAGGACCTGAGTTCAAATCCGGCCTTTGACCAAACACTTGACACTTACTAGCTGTGTGACCCTGGGCAAGTCACTTAACCCCAATTGCCTTTAAAAAAAAATTTTTTAAAAAGGGAAACAAGTTTTCATTCCTCATGTAGGAGAGGATCCTATCCACCTTTCTTCCTCCAGTACAAAAGACTTGTAACTTAAATCAACAAACATTTAAGGACCTACTAAGTCTCGGTCATTGTGTTAGTTGATGGGAACGACAAAGACAAAAGCGAAACAACTTCCCCTCAAAGAGCTTAAATTTTAGGGAGAAATAGCCTAACCAGAACCACAAGCACTGGAAAATATGGTTGGCTGGCTGTCATCCATGATGTTCATCTTATTTAGCCTCTGGTCATTGTCTTTGTCCCTTGTGTTTGTTATGTCTCTTGTGGGTCTCTGTTGTCTCTGTATCCTTTGTATATGTGTCTCAGTCATAGAATTATAGAGTTGTAAGAGATTACAGTCCAGTTTCCTGGATAGGGAATAGATAGATGTCCTCTAAAGTATCCCTGACAAGTGGTTATCCAGTCTCTGTTTGAGTACTTCCCGCAACTAGGGAATTCGCTATCAAAACAAGGGGCTGGCCAATGAAGGCACATCTTAGAAGCATGTACAGGGGACCCGTTCAGCTGTTTGGTAAACTTGCTTCTAGGTATGTGTGACTAAGTAGAATGGAGGGGCCTGGCTCTTCACTTCCAAAAGAATTGATTAATTATTAAGCACTTACTATGTGCCAGGCACTGTGATAAGCCACAGGGATACAGAGAAAAGTAAAAAACAGTTCCTGTCCTCCAGGAGCTCACAGTCTAATGGTAACATGTAAATAATTAGGTACATGCAGAATAGATGGAAGGAGATTGTAGCATTCAAAAATTTGGTTATTTTACTGAACGTAAGAATATGTAGTTCCTTTTGCTTTAACTTAGTGCTAATTAAGGGATTTACTGATTCATAATCTAACTTCTGGTATGGACATGGAAGAAGCTGCAAAGTAATGCTAGCTACCAGGAGCAAGATGAGAGCTGAAAGATACTTTTCCAACCCAACCCAAATATGAGGCAGACCTGTAGCAATGGTTACTGAGTAGGAAGCAAAGAATTTTGAAATACAGATTTGACTTACATGCTTTTGTTTGGTGGCTGGCTAGTTGGCTGTGGATTTGGATGTGACTCACAAAAATGCTGAAATAGCCCTGGGCTATGTATGAGCTGTCTCACAAAAGAGCTCCGACCAATTCCCTTTCAGAGAAGGGACAGCATAGCAGATAAAATTCAGCAGAGAACCAGAAGATGGCAGAAAAGAGGAAAAGAAAGCCCAGAAGATGATACCAGCAGCCTGTAACTCAACAGAGAAAACGGAAGTAACAAGTGACAGCTTTAGAGGAAGAGAAGTTTTCAGCTGTGATATAACTTTAGGAACATGAGTTGCCTATGAGTTACTATAATAGTTCCCTCTTCTATATATGTCTCTTGGCTACACAGGTAGTCCACTATTGGCCTGGGAATCTGTATGTGTACGAACGAATTTTCCTTGTTATTTGTCATGCTATTCTGTTCCAATTAAATGTTTCTTTATTTAATTAGTGTGTCCTCTCATCTAGTAAAAGAGAAACATTGGTGGAAAGCATGGTTTTTAGGCATCAGTTATTCATTGTTTGTCCTTCTTTCTCAAAGAGGACCATGACATCATTTGCAAGTGAATTGGATTTAAGTGAGAGAGGGAGGTGCAAAGTCACCAGCCTCTCACTCTCTCCTCCAGAGCCATTTGGGTCCAGTGGCAGATATAGATCAGAACCACTAGAGATGGCCCCCAATAGTTTTTAATAGATATTAAGGATAACTTGAACCGGGGGGAGTAACTTAGGACCAATATGTGAGCTATATATGAGCGCTTGTCTGGTACTCTCTTCTGAAGAGATAATGCTCTAGTGTTGAAGAAGTTCACTGATTTTTCCCTTTTATGTTATTTTCTAGGCTATTTTTAGACAGCAAGGTTTTGTTACGATTTTTGCAGGCCAGATCAATTAATTTAAAAATAAATATTATACTATTGCATGTCAAAGTATTATAATTTTGTTGTTTATTGTTGAATTGCTATTGTGAAACTTGTTGATATGGCATTGTTTGAGTAACCACGGATGCCCAGTTGTTAGAGAAAAGGTACTCTGGTGGGAATTAGTTCTCTTTAAGGACTATTGGTTTTAAGGGGGAATGACTATGATAATGATGGAGTTTTGTGCATCTTCTGGATTTAGGGGAATGTAAAGTATCTCCAACAGTCTGTGACTTGGTATCTGCACCATCCCCAAGAGCAAGTGATCTTAGGGGAGTAATTCTGCAGGTCATCTGCTCTTCTCATACCCTCTGGCCCGCAATTATAAAGATGCATCTTTGTGTTTGAGCAGTGGAAAAACTTCAAAGGACATTGCAATTTCCCAAATGCAAGTCAGTCTGCTCTTTTCTTTCTATTAAATTGTATCCCAGTGCGTTCTACAGGGCGTTCTGAAAACTAACATGCTAGCAATCTACACAGGAAAAACCAAAGGGATGAAAAATGGCTGCTGCTCAGACATTATAACACACATTAACTCTTTTATTAAGCCTGCTCCTTTATTTTCTTTGGGTCTATTACCTGATTTCCCTAGGCTCTCTGTCACCCTTCACCTAATGAGGAGGCTTATCTCACCTTTAAAGTTCCCTCCAAATGTACATTAACTTTTAAATTGCTAGTCTCGTAAGGACACGTTTTAGATGGCCAAAGGGCTAAACTGTAACTCTGGGTTTCCCAGCTCTAACAGTGTTTTCGGAGCTCCAAGTTCGTGGTTTTCCTACCCACACACCAACCTTTAAGGTCCTAGCATGGCCTGAGTCTCCCAAAGCTGCTAGCCCACACTTGTTAGCTGCAGTCAAGTATCCGCCCCACCTCATTCCAGCCCTGAGGTCTGGGTGTTGAGGGATCTGGGAGGTTGTGACTGGGGGTGTAACCGCTGGAACATAGCCACAGCAAATCGCAGCACGGCATCGGGGGCGGCAGAGTGAGAGCCAACGACGTGAGCAACGACGCTCTCCTACATTCATCCAATCAGAACTGCCCTCAAGGCGGAGCTGAGTTCTACCTGCGTGCAGGTGAGGAGGTCTCCCTCCTCTCTGCCTGCCGAAAGCCAGTAGTTCAGGATATGGTTTGGAACCAGGAGGCCCTAGGGGAGGAAATGGCTGGGTCCCACTTCCCGATGGAATCGATCCAGAATCAGGCCCAGGAGCCGGAGAAGCTGGGCTCCCGGGAGCAGCAGGTCGCCGGGGAACAGCAGCCACCTCCGGAGCGACCGGAGCCCCCGGAGCCCCTGGAGAAGCCTGTTGGGAATCCCCAGGGGCCCAAAGAGCAGCCGGCTTCGGAAAGCCCGGCTCGGACCCGGGATCCCCCGGGCGAGAAGACGGTCTCCCTGCGCCCCACCTTCCTCCGGGTGCCACAGCCGAGCTTGGGGTACGGCTCTTTCCGCTGTCGGGGATCTGCGAGCTCTGAGCAGCTCCAGGGCCGCGGGGATCGGGAGGGCACCCTGGCTCTGGTACCCGTCCCGGCCCCGGCAGAAGCGCAATCTCGGGAGGGCGAGACGTCCACCCCGGGCGCCGTGCGGGAGCCGGGCGAGGCGGGGTCGGGGGCCTGGGCGCCCGTGGAGCTGCAGGTGGATGTGCGAGTGAAGCCCGTGGGCGCAGCGGTTTCGGGGCTCACTCCCTCTCCCGTGCCCACCACCCGCTTCTTCTCGGTGCCCGTGCCAGACTCCCCCGCCTTCTCGCGCCACTCCTCCTTCTCCCGCTCTGGGGTGCCCCGGACTCCTTCCCCTGGGAGCACGTGGGGGGGAAGTCCGCACCCCCTTGCCGGCTGGGCCGATCGGTACCGGGAGCAGGAGGGACGGGCCAGCCCGGGACCAGTGCGGTCCGGAGAATCTCCGTCGGGGCTTCCCCGATGTAGGTGCCGGCAGCTGGGGCTGGAGGACAAGGAGTGGGAGAAGCTGCTGCCCGGGTGCGGGGCTGACGGAGACAAACTGCACCAAGCGATCACACGCATAGGTAAGAGACCGAATCCTGCTGAGGTCCCCCCGCCCGGGAGCCCTAGTTTGCCCGCATTTCCTGGCTGGGATGGAGAGGGAAAGCCCCAATGTCCCATCAGGACAAGCCTGCCTTTCCCTGTGTGGGAAAAGGGGGACGAGGGAGGAATCCAGAGAGAGGGAAATCCAGTCTGTGCCCGCCACTGGACCCAGCTGGCCTGTTATGCAGGGGAATTAACTCTGGAAATGCTGGAGAATGCTTCCTCCCTGAATGCCAGCCCCTGCATCCTTCCTTTCAACTCCCTACCTCAGCCATGTGACGTTTTCTGTTATTATAAACACTGGTATTTTGTTATAAATTAATTCCATAAGCACATCTTATTATATGCCTGACTCTTCGAAGATCTAAATAAAAATAAAACTGTAATTGTGGATTTCAATTAGACTTTTTCAGGGCATCTTTCCCAACGCATATCTGCTGAGGGGCAGGGAGGGAACGCTCACCTCTGTTTTACTTGCACCAAGGCTTGCTCATAAGCCAGGGTCCTAACCAGTACCTGGACACTGGGCTCCCAGTCCAGGGCTGAATTTATTGACCCATGATACCCTGTTCGAAATCTGATTTCTCTTTGGGCTTATTTCTTTCACATACTCAAATACTTTTTGCTAAATGAACTCTCTACCCCACAGTGTTCCTTTTCGAATAATTTGTGGGAGACTTGGGGAGGAGAAGGGGAGTGAGTAGTAAATGGGAATGCTGGAAATCAGACTAGACCCAGGATTGTGGAGATTGGGGCAAGATGTTCAGACCTTGAGGTCTCAGCAGGAGAGATGAGGAATTGGAGGAACCCATCCTGAAAGGAGAGAGATAAGATTGAGTCTGTCCCTGCACTGTCTTTGTTATCTCTCCAAACCTCCTTGGCACAGTATTTTGTATAGCAAACAGCCATTTAAAAACTTTTGTTAAATGAATGAATGTAGAATTGTTGATCCAACTTTGCTGGGCATCTAAAGCTCCCTCGTGGTGTCCCCAAGAATATGTATTTCTGTCATAATGAGAGAGAACAGGTACCCTGTGTGCATGGATCAGTGGCTTTAAAGAAGGAAAGACCTAGGTCCAAGACTTTTCTCTAACTCATACTAGCTGTGTAGGTAAAATCATTTAACCTTTTAGGATATGTGCCAAGGCAACTCTTTAAGAAGGGTGAGTTGAGGGGGCAGCTGGGTGGCGCAGTGGATGGAGCACTGCCCCTGAAGTCAGGAGGACCTGAGTTAAAATCCGGCCTCAGACCAAACACTTGACAAGTACTAGCTGTGTGACCTTGGGCAAGTCACTTAACCCCGATTGCCTCACCAAAAAAAAAGAAAAGAAAGGTGAGTTGAGACCAAACACTTGACACTTACTAGCTGTGTGACCCTGAGCAAGTCACTTAACCCCAATTGCCTCCAAAAAAAAAAAAAGGAAGAAGTTCGAATTAAGTTCTCCATCTGCGTAGGTGAAAGTTTTCAAATCAAGACTTCTCTCCAGTGATCTAGATTTTTTTTTTCAAGAGAGGTACCAAGGTATAGAACAGCTGAGTTACATTCAAGATCACATAATTCCATGATAAAATCCCACAGTGCCCCAATGCCCATGCCCTTGTCTCTCAGTTCACTGCTTGAACCTTTCTTTAGGCATTGCTGTATGTTAGAATAGGCTGCAATTAAGATGATCCTCCTTTTCTCCCTGCTCCCCTTCAAAGAGAAAGTTCCTGAAAGGGAAGAGACCACTGGGGGAGTTTCTTGAGCTCACATCTTATTTGTACTTTGTGCAATAGTCTCCTAATTGTCCTCTCTCCCCTCTCCAATCCATCTTTCATACAGCTGCTAAAGAGACTTTCCTAAAGTGCAGATTTCACCACATCACTTCCTTGCTCAATAAATTCCAGTGATTCCGAATTGTCTATAAGCTCCTCTGCTTGGCTTTTAAAGTCCTTTACAACCTGGCTGCAATCTACTTTTCCCATTTTTATCAGTCTTCTTCTCATAGTCTACAGTTCAGCCAAACTGGCCCTCATGCACAACACTCCTATCTTGCCTCTTTCCATAACTTTGCACTGGCTATCCCCCAAGTCTGGGATGTACTGCCTCCTCACCTCTGATTCTCAGAATCCCTACTTTTCATCAAAGCTCCCCTCAGTCTACTACAGGAGACATTTCCTGATTCCCCTGAGCTGTTCATGCTTCCCCACATCAAACTGTTCAGTCTTTTTCAGTAGTGTTTGACTCTTTGTGACCCCATTTGGGGTTTTCTTAGAAGAGATACTAGAGTGGGTTTGTCATTTCCTTCTCCAGCTATTTTACAGATGAGGAAACTGAGGCAAACAGGGTTAAGTGACTTGCACAGGGTCACACACTCAACTAGTAAGTGAGATCTTATTTTGAACTTAGGAAGATGAGCCTTCCTGACTCTAGGCCCAGCACTCTATCCACTTCGACACCTAGCTGCTCCACAACAAATTATCATGCATGTATTTTGAATATACCTATGTGTGCATACCTATATTTCCCTCTCCTCTCCCCCCATCAAATGTAAGCTCTTTTAGCTTTCTGCCAGGTATTGTTTAACTTTCGTCTTGTATCCTCAGTGCTTAACATAGTGCCTAGCACATGATAGGTATTTAATAAATGATTTTGGTTTATTGATTGGAGAACTAGGAATGTGGTAGAGTGAGCAGAGAATTAATAGGAGTTTCTGAAATAAGGATATTCAGGTAAAGACCTAAACTGAGGAGTACAGGGGATGAAGGCTGGGTAGTTTTCAGCAGGACCAGGGTCCACTGTATTTAGACATAGTGAAATTGAATCTATAAGATCCTTAGTCGTAGGCTATTTCCTGGAAGGGAAATACTTGTTTTATTGACTAATCATTTATTACATACACAGCAGTTTGCTAGGCTCCGAGAAGAAGCCAAAAGAAAGTTGTTACCTGCCCTCAAGAAACTTACAATCTAATAGTGGGAGGCCAGAAATGTACTTGGGAACCATTAAGTATTAGTGCTAAGGGACTTGTGTTGAGTGTCAAAATGAGAGACAGAGACACACAAGGGCACAGAGAGAGAAAGACAAAGACACAGAGAAAGGGAGGGAGACACACCCACCCACCCACCCACCCACCCACACACACACACACACACAGAAGGCCACATGCATGGAGAGGGTAAGTGCTATAGGAATTCAGAGGCAGGGAAGAACTGTATCCTGGAGTAGTCAAGGAAGGCCATGTGAAGAAGCTCATTCATTCTCCTAGCTCCTATTACAGCGTCTAAGCTGATGACTCCCAAATTTCTATCTCCAACCTTCTAATTTTGTTCCTTCCCCAGCCAATTCTATCCACTTTTCAAGGTCCAGCTCAGTTTCAAAGTAGACAACAAGGGTCCCATATTTAGGGAGTGGCACAAGGAAGAAAGGCTTTGCAGAGGAAGTGAAAGCTAAGGGACCCAAAAGTTACAACATGACAGTGAGGTTAATGAGAGTAGTCAGCAGGGTGAAGAACAACTGGAAGGAGAAAAAGGCAATTAATTGAATTTGGCTGGAAGAGTTTCTCTGACTATAATCAAGACAATAATTTCAGTAAGTTCATAGAACAGGAGGCTACAGGGTTTCAAGGTGGAATGAATGAGAAATGAGGAAGCAAGTAGTGAGTGTAGCTCACACTTTGAGAAACTTAACAGTGAAAGGAAAGAAAGAAAAGAGGCTAGAACTTGAGACAGTAGAGGCGCAAGAACCCCCTACATGTGGCTCTTTAAGGATGATAGAATCACTGAATTTTAGAGCTAGAAGTGACCTTCTAAGCTCTCTAGTCCAAGGGTTCTTTACCTTTTTTGTGTCCTGGACCCCTCTAGCAGTCTAGTAAAGCCTATAGCCCCCTTCTCAGAGTAATATTTTTATCTTTTTAAAATCTTATTTAATATTTTATTTTTTCCCAATTACAAGTAAAAACAATTTGAACATTTTTTTCTCTCCAAATTTTGAATTCCAAATTCTCTTCCTCCCCTCTCCCTCCCCTTATTAATAAGGCAAGCAATTTGACATGTTATACATGTGCAGTCATGCAAAATACATTTTCACGTAAGTCATAATGTGAAAGAAAACACAGCTCCCTGCCCCACCCCCCACCAAAATAAAATAAAGAAAAAGTATCTTTGATCTGAATTCAGACTCTACCAGTTCTTTCTCTGGAAATGGACAGCACCTTTTATCATAACTCCTACAGAATTGTCTTGGATCATTGTATCTAAGTTAGAATAATATTTTTAAATGCATAAAATAAAACAGAGGATTGCAAAGGAAACCAATTATATTGAAACACAGTTAGTTACCAAAGTATCTTTAAAAACCAGGTCCAGGACCCCAGATTAAGAGTCCCAACAAGTCTAGTTCAGCTTCCTTGTTTTACAAATGAAAAACCAAAGGCCATAGAATTTCATCAACTGACACCATTGCATAGCAGTAAAATGACCCATGGAGGATTCATACTCAGGTGGCCCTCAGGCTTCAAGTCCAGCATTTTCCACTATGCCATGCTACCTCTCATTGGAATTCAGCCAAAATAAATGAATGAGTCAGCACCTGTATGTTGTCTCATCCCATTAACCTGCCTTATCCCCTCTGAACAATGAATGACGATCTAGCCTTAAAGGCTCATAGAGCTCCTGCCTAATCAAAACATTGAGGCCCCACTGGGATGTCATCTTTGATCTCCTCCATTTGTGGTTGTTGCCCCCATTCAGCAACAACCTACCCACCTACCCTCTTACCCACCAAGGGCTAGTTAGTTGTTAGGCTGGCTTCTCTCCTACCTCATCCTCCTCACTGCCCTGGTAATTAGCTAGTAGTATTAAGAATGTGCTAATGGGATAGGGAGACATATTTCTGATCAACATATGGACAACTTTTCTAATCATTAGGCATGGCCCAAGATGTGGCCCATTAGGAATGGAATGGACTGCCTGAGGAACAAGTTATACATTACTGGATATT